CTAGATGGCATAATACAATAAATGCAATTAACTTTTGCAATCTGTGTGAACAGATGGCTTATACAACAATATGCTGGCCTTATACTATCTTGATTGAGTTGGAGGGATTCTTTTTTAATATAAGTGTGGCACATAATCGAAATATTCAATTATACCATTGTTGTTCTGATCCACGCTTTCATTCATAAAATGAATGGCGGTGAACTCTATCATCATGAAACTTATATTCAAGACAATCTCTGTAAATCAATAGTAAATACGCCATTCGTTCCACGTAACAAGATGGTAATTCTATGCAGCCTAGATTTCATACGATAATGGATAGTTGACGAATCCATTTCAAAATGAAAGGCTTATTCCTTTTGCGCTTTGTTACCAGCCTCAATTTACTTACTATTCAAGTAGATTTTAGCCTTTGCCAAAAAAATTCGATACTAATAATTGTAAAGTCATATTATAGCCCTGATGATTAAATTGAACTATTATACTGTATGTATTTATAAATAAGAACAGTCAACCTTATGTTTAGTTTTATTCATATTACGAATCTGGCACATATTGTCAAATAGTGTTTTTTTAAAGAAAAAATCCATAGCTTCATATATGAGGAGGGTATGCGATGCCTTAGGTGCCATCTAGCCTATCCCTGTTGTATATTAAAGTTCTAACCTTATGTCCCAAGCTGTCTGTATAGTATGTCTCATTACGCATTATTTATAACATTCCATCATACTGTAGCATTTTAAGAAAGCTTTTAGTGTTTTTGATCTGCAAACACTGTTAAGAATCTCATACTATAAGATTTCATTCATTAGCAGCATTAATCAGCTGTGTTATACTTTATGCGATTGGCGATAATTTAATTTCTATTTAGTTTTATATATAATGAGATGATTGATCGATAATATAATTGTAGTACATAATGAATTTAGCTTCTCATTTGCTCACTGTAGGCGCAAGAATAAATCAGTTTTCTTGATACCTGATAACAATGCATTACTACGAGGACAGCTACAATGGACAGGATATAGATATAATCAATTTTATTTGCATTTTAGGTATAAAAAAAATATGCAATCATGATGACAGACTATACACATACCCAGCGTTTGAAAATGATTTAGTAATATCGTTAAGAACTACGAACAAAAGGTATCCGCAGTTGTATATCTATTTACAAAAACAGTGATTCATTTAACCATGATAGAGCAAAATTAGTCAGCACTGCATACCTTTGACTAATAAACAATTAGCAAGAACCAATAAAATTGAAATGTGGTATCAGATTGTCAATCACGAATAAATCAACGTATGACCAAAATGTGATTAGTAAAGGGAAAATTACCGAAATGAATATTGAATATTGGAATAAGAACGTAAAGACAGCTAATAGAATTAAAGAATGCTATAGGACAGATTATGTAAACGAATTAACGCACAATTAAGATAGTGATTCATGAAGAAAATCATTCGGAATATCAAATATTTACGGGCGAAATTCATGAATTCGGTACTAACTAAATTACGCCACTGAACAAAAATTCACCGTACACTAATCGACAATAAAATATGACGCATAGTTAGAACAGATTTTAACTTCAAAAACGGAAATATTACTGATGGCTTTGATTGGTAAATATTACAGATGACGTACGGAATTGTTTATTAGCCATCATCAATTAGTGGCATTCATTTTCTGCATTGGTCGCAAAATGAATGCATTACGAAAGGAATAACTGTTCTGTAATTGTAAGTAAGCAAGAAAGCGCCGCTAATGTCCAATTTGACATGAATTTTTTGATATGATTGCTATAATGTGTGAACTTGGATCGATTGAAAATTAATTTAATTATTAGTACAATAGCATCGAAGCTGGGAGGTATGCAAGACTCTACGAAATACAATGCATTCATTAGTCAACATGCCCACAAATATTGTTGAATATGTACACGTATGTTTTTATTTTATGTAATGTAATAGCTAAGGATGATTATCATTTCTTTAAAGTTGATATCACCATGTTCTGTCACTTTGTATCCTATTGCAACGTTAAACAAATAAAATCTTGCATTAATCCTACGTAACAGGCTATTCATTTTCAACTGATGGATCACTCGAACAGTTTGTACCGACAAACATTCAGTGGGTGGAGGTTTATCGTATATAATTGAATTTACCGATATTTCTATAGGGCCTATAATAAGTATTTATTAAACGGCATGTCCTATATAGGATGACGTCCTGTTTTGAATAGTAAAGGCAAGTAGGTAGGTCCTATCTTGCAAACCATTACTGCACTGCATTTCGAGTTAGTCGTATACTGTATATTCCGTATTCGCTAATTACACTTTGCTCTCGATTTTTTAAAGTATTTACCGCCAAAATATTTGATATGTACATTTACATAGGTACACAACCGCTGGCGAGACAGATTAAGTCAATTGTCTTTTAATAATAATACAAAGATTAAGAAATTTAACCTAAAGGTAACACATGGTAAAGTGCTTTCCCTTAGCTCGCCAGGTCCAATATTTGTAAACAAATACTGATAACGTCGTCTAGCGCTATAATTGTAGCTGTTAAGTAGCTATTTATATTTTACAGTATACAATCACCTTTAATCACGCAGCAAGAGTGCTCTTGGTAGTGAGTAAATATGTTCTGTAGTATTAGCACCGAATAGACGCAATTTCTGCCATGAAAACAATATCGGAAGTTCTGAACATTACTTGCACAAGTAGCATAGAATTGTCTGTAAATAAAGAGAATACCTACCTGCACAGTATTCATATGCATATTTTAATGTGTAAAGAATTAATCAAGTTATTACAAAACCATTGCATGCACTAAAATTCTAATGCCCAGATTTTGTAAAATAAGTTATTGTAGATATTTTATACTACTCGACCTACCGGCATCTACAATTTATCAGTAAAGTGTGGTAATGTAGAACGTAAATAAAATTAACTTTGACTTCCTAAGTAGATTGTAAACAACGACAATGCATGATGAAAACACTGCAAAATCCAGTAATATTACGCGTCAAATCTGTTTATGCTGAGTTGCTCAAGACTCATAATCACGATAGATTTAAGCTGACTTTCAACCGAGATTTATAATTATAATGATGTTGTTGATTCTGCAAGTGCTGTAGAGGGTATGGTGACGACAAAAATTAAAATCGTTTTGATTATCTGCAATAGACGTAATGATTACAGTACAGCGCTTTGATTGATTTTGAACCAAAAACGGAATTAAGGGTTTCGTTAACTACCGTTGTATATCACAATAATGAGTCCAGTATTTGAATATGTGTAACAATCTAAGAAAAGCAGACTAAAATTGAGCGAAGTAATTAACTATATTTAATGTAAGACAATTATCTATTATCTCTAATATTATCGAATTACTCATACTTACTGCTGGTTAGAAGTTTATTTACAAGTTATCCATTACAGTGTAGATGATTGTAATGTTAAAATTCTCCGATATGCTTGGGTTAGGGCTTGGGTTGTGGTCTTGCCTAAGTAAGACCTTTCAACTTTGCGCGGTATATTTTAAATCGGTCTAATCCGTATGACTGTTGAGGTCATAATGTGGCAATAATTTCATTTTCTTGTTTTATTCCAGATTTTAAGATAGACAAGAAAATTTCTTGCGGTATCAGCTGACAATCTTTTACAAATTCCAAGTATCTAATACTACAATACGAGTATAGTAATATCTGCCTAGAAAGGAGCGAACTTACTCCAAAAATAACAATTGCTTGAATATTTTTTCTCGCTGAAAATATTTAATTCCTTGTGTTAGGTATTGCTCCTAGATGAAAGCAGTTCGACCGATTCAATCTGTGAATTGGCTTTACGGCAGGTTATTAAACCAGTATAATGACTTTCTTGTCGATATTAATTTCCTTATTTTTGTCTTGGCTAATATTTTCTCTAAAACCGACTACAATGTTTCGAACTCAAGACCCAATTGTCTATGGAAAATTGGTAAATTGGTTAATTATTATTATATTCGGCCAAATCCTCGATTAATGCACATAATTACTGTATGATATAACCACTATCACACGATGTATAAGTTCATCATGACGCAACAAGTAGTAGTTTAAAAACAGTATACGTAATTTCAACTGATTCTAAACTGCAGTATGCCAAAATATCAATGGATAATCGTTGTAGCATTATGCGTATACACGAGTATAACTATTGCTATTTGATTGCCGTAATTTTTCCTGTTTGCATAGTGAAATTTATTACTCGATTCAATATACTTGGGTGTCAAATTTATCACATCGTCAAAAATTACTCCTTATTTCAACAAAACAAAGCAGAATCAACTGTCACTCTGATCTAGATGCAAAGTTCACACCTGATCGCCTTACGATTTGATGTCTGCTACATTAGCTCTAAAGATCGTAAGACAATACATAAATCTAATATTGACATATGATGGTGCATTGGGCTACTGTCATATTGTCGTTGTAAAGTGATATTTCGATCTAGTTACGCCTGTGCAAGTTTAAAGTACCAATGAGAGCTAAGCCATATACAGAATAGAGTTAATTAATTATTAGCTAAAAACCTATTAACTATAAAACCAAGCTATAAATTCTATAATATTATTTTTATTATTTGCTAATATTCTTTTGCAAATGAGTGGCACCGTTGATTAATTATTGCAATTGGATAACATAGACTGTCTAAGAGAGACTAGACCTATGATATACTATAAATAATTATAATAGGTGATAAATTATTTGTATCTATCTATATTAATTCGCTAAGATTGACATACGTATAAAATACTTTACTATCACCTGTAATGGAATTGTGGAGTAGAGTAAACATTTAAAAATTTTCTGCCAAAGTTGCTGTGAACGTATACTGTAACACGTCTTTATATAAAATTTCGAGGCTCAAGCTTTAAAATATCACTCCCATTTGTTCATCTATAAGATTCTTTGGTGGATCTGAAATTTCGAAAAACTGAAGATGGCTAGCCCTCAAAAATTATTAGGTAGATTCAGTATTTTATTGCGATTTGCCATGCATTGCCGATTAAAAACATGCAGTCTATTTTTCAGTTAAAAATGCGTTATGTCAATTTCTGCTTGCTGTGCAGCATCACTGTATTATGTGCAGAGATCGTAGAATATTCAAGTCTGATAAAGTAGAGTGTTCACAATAATGATAAATTGGCTACATTAAGCTTTAATGATCAATTTCATCTTGATAATAGCTCTCGTGAGTACGTCCAATCGTGAAAATTTACCATGGTTTGCAACGCAACTTTACGAATTCGGTTATGAAATAGTTGCTTCTGGTGGCACTGCTGCATGTCTTAGGTCAAATTATATCCCGGTGGTAGATGTTTCTCAAATTACCCGTCATCGAGAAATGCTGGCAGGCCGCGTTAAAACATTGCATCCAGCAATTCATTCTGGGATCTTAGCACGCAACTGCCCTGAGGACTTGCAGGAAATGGTTGAATTCGGCTATCAATTTTTTGATGTTGTCGTTTGCAATTTATACCCCTTCGAAGAGATAGCAAAACGCGGCATTAAAATAGATGATGCAATTGAGCAAATTGATATCGGAGGCGTAACATTACTACGAGCTGCTGCCAAAAACTATCAGCGTGTGACTGCAGTTTGCGATCCAAATGATTACCAACGAATTTGTTCCGAGATAGAAGCTAGCCAAGAAAATCGCACCACTTTAGGATTAAGGAAGGAATTAGCATTGAAAGCTTTAAATACAACGGCTGCATACGATTTCGCTATTAGCAATTATCTTCGCTATGAGTTTAAAGCGGGTACATCTCAAATGGATTTACGTTATGGCATGAATTCACATCAGAAGGAAGCTCAAATTTTTACGTTTTCTGATGTATTGCCAGTAGCCACTTTAAACGGAAAACCAAGCTTTATAAACATGCTAGATGCTTTAAACAGCTGGCAACTTGTGCAAGAACTTCGTAATATTTCCAGTCTGCCTGCGGCAGCGTCATTTAAACATGTAAGTCCGGCAGGTGCGGCTGTGGCCGTACCATTATCGAGTGCTGAAGTTTTATCAAGCATGGTAAAAGGATTTGAGCTTACTGCTCAAGCGACAGCGTATGCCCGAGCTAGAAGTGCTGACCGGCTTTCGTCTTTTGGAGACTGGATTGCCTTATCCGATATTTGTGACATTGCAACAGCAAAACTGATATGCGCTGATATTTCAGATGGTGTAATAGCACCCGAATATCATCCCGATGCATTAGCAATGCTTAAGAAGAAAAAGTCCGGAAAGTTTATCATTTTAACGATGAATTCTAGCTATCGTCCATCGATAAAGGAATATCGAACTGTTTTCGGACTTCATCTGCAGCAAGAAAGGAATAATTCCGTTATTAATCGTGAAGCATTATCCGACATTCTTACCAGAGCAAAGGATTTACCCAGTAGCGCTATCTTAGACCTATTGGTGGCAACTATCGCTGTGAAGTATGCCCAATCCAATTCTGTTTGCTATGCTTGCAATGGCCAGATAATTGGATTAGGTGCAGGACAACAATCACGTATTCATTGCGTTCGACTTGCAGGTGAAAAAGCAAAGCTATGGTGGCTGAGACAACATCCTTACCTAGCAACTGCTCAATTTAAAAATTATGTTCAGCGTTCTGAAATGAATAATATCATAGATGTATATGTTCGAGGTACCCTTGATATCGACATCCCTAAAACGGATTGGGAAAGCTACTGGGAGAAAGAACCTCAAGAACTATCCATGGATGAGCGTCAAAAGTGGTTGTCCAAGCTAGGACAGTTATCTATGAGCTCCGATGCATTTTTTCCATTTCGCGATAGTATAAATTTTGCCAGCACTATTGGTGTTCAATATATAGCTACTCCGATGGGTTCTACTCGCGATGATGATATCATTTCTGCTTGCAACGATAAAAATATAGTCTTAACTCGACTGCCTGAGCGTTTATTCCATCATTAACAAATGGAGAACGAGGCTTATCTGTTTTGATTTACCGATTTTGATCTAGTGTTACTTTACCGAATTCGATAAGAGATATCGTACATAATCGGGGATATTAGTGTGATTTGTGTAACTCTAATGCCATATTTTATACTGGTTTTAGCTACTAACTTACTTACTGTAGGCTATCATATTTATAGTACATTGTAATTTACTACAAGATATGCTTTAATATGGAATAAGAAATGAATCCTCATTTTTGATTTAAATATTAGATAATGTGATTTGTCTAACTGGAACGCCATATTTTTGTACTGATTTTTGTTACTTACTTGCTTAGGCTATCGTATTCATGGTGTGTTGCAATTTACTACAAGATGTACTTTAATATGGAATAGGAAATGAATCCTCATTTTTAATTTACTTTGAGGATCAATTTAGTAGCTTTAGTGTATGTTTAGGAGGATAATACTATTATTAACTTTTATTGAACGCCGGGCCTTGGCTGCTTGTAATAGTTGCTTCCTAAATAAAATAGTTGGAAGGCTTACAAGTATGGCAGTGAAATTTTAGATTCCATTGCTTTCATTAATTTCTTCAGTTATGAAATTAAATATGTGCATAGTTATGAATTACAATCTTGAAGAATGACTATTATATTTTGCTTCAGTAATTGGCTAGTTTATTTAGCGTCTGTTCATTTGTTGAAATCATCAACGAAGGCTTTCATAGAAACATATAGTACTGTAGAAGTCGAATGATATAAATTCGACTACATCAGTAGGTGAACCAGGAAAATATTAAAAATTTAACATGCAATAAATGAACATGTCTTGCAATTTGTGAATGCAGAAATGCACTAATACGTAGTGTTGAGTAGAAAAATGATGTTATTTACTAAAGATCCTTACAACAAGAAATGCCAAATTACTTACTGTAGCTAAAATAGACTTCAATTACGAAAGTTATATCAATCAAAGCGCTTTTGATTGCTTCTTACGGGAATGCTAATACTTGTATTATTAGAAATTTAGATTCGTAAATTTTACATAGGATTAACTAAACTGATGAAATAGTTATAAATACTGGCCACTATACATTAGTCATGAAGACGTTATTAGAGTAATGTACAGGCAATATTGCTATAATATCTCGAAAATATTGATATACTTGTTCAATTCCAATCGAAGTTAAAATTATTCATGTTTATTGTAAAATTTATTCATACGGCATAAAAGAATAATATGGCTAACCGAAACTACTTAAACGAGATACCCGCAAAAATTAGATCCATTTCACAGAGATAGATAGATTTGCGAATAATTATCTAACCTGGTAAGCTCCGTTGAATTAGAAATCGTTTCATGTTGCATAAACTATAACAACAACATATTAATGACCGCCTCACTTGAGGATAAACTTTACATACTACAGCAAAGCATCGACAGAACGAGGTGTTGAGTTCGATTGCATCATGCAAAAAACATCCAATCTTAATTTAGTACAGCAATTTAATTTAGATTAATATAGATTAGTTAAAATGAATCAGAGTTTATATAAATTGTAAACTTATCGTGCAATCAACTTTAATTTTTAAATAAACATGTTCAGATAAATATCTGTATCGAATTAAAAGCGTTAATAATAAGGGGTTGTCACAAATAAAATTTGGGGGATAATAATGATAATACGCGTAGCATACTCGCACGTTCAAAAGTTTGGACATTTAAGGGAAATGCGTAACAAAATTAAATAATCGAAATATTAAAGTAACTTCAGCTACTACTGAATATAAATAAGATTACGCCTTATTATTTGTATCATCTTTATGGACGCCATTGACGGTAGTAACATCTTGGGGAATATCCAATTCCAGTCTGTTATAGCGACCATTGAAAAACAACAATAGCGGCACGCAAGCGGCACAACAGCCAAGTAATAACCAATTGGTCCATAACGAGCCTAAGGTAATAGCAAGTTTACAATCAGTTACACGTGTAATATCATAAAGATGCCTGAAGAATTAACTAGGACATCGCTACACGGTAATAACTGATTATTCCTATGAGTGTACTTACCGATATTTGGAATCAGAAACAATAGCAGGAAAAATATTCCGAAAGCATTGTTCGACATTGTTAATGCTCCTGAGGTTATCCCCTCTGGTACTGGGTAACAAACTTCCATATTCAGTTCATAATATAAAGGTATAGCTCCATTGACAAACAATCCACCCAAGATACTCGTTATGTAAAGGCTAGCTATAATAATAGAGAGGATGTTGACAGACCATCAATGCCCAACAGATATGCAATGTGTTTAAAAACTAAAGATATACAGTCAAATTACTGTGGTCGAACACTATCGCCATTAGACTTCTTTTATCTGATAACGTCTTGCTTACCTTCAGAAAATGGTACATATTTGAAACATACTAAGGTGAACCACAAGAAAGAAACTGTTGATCCGATCATCATACAAATTAATGATATCTTCATTTTTCCAGCAAAGATATCTGAAAAGCTAAATTAATCAAAACAAAAGTTAATGTGATAAGACGCTTTCATAGGGTATTGTGTAAAAATAGACCTGTATTTAAAATATTATAAAATGAAAGCGAATGCTTACAATCCAAGTGTGACACCTGCTACACATCCTGCAATGTTGGCATAAAAGCCTAACCAACCGGCAAGTATCTATACGAAATTAGTAATAAATGGTAGCGGGATAATTAGCTATTTTATACGGTTATGAAAAAACACACTAAATATTTTAAGCCTAACCTGGTCAACATTGAAAGATTGTAAATTAACATTTAAAACTGCTCCCCACGCGGCATACACCCCTATAATATGGGTTAAAATAATTCCATATAATTTGAATTTAGCACATACAAGCAGGAATACGTAAATCACATTATTAGACTGCGATAGTCCGTTAGCTTAGTATGTAAGCATTACCAGTGCTAGCACCATAGCATATGAATAAATTCCAAAAACTCTTGTTCCTAGAAGTTGAATAATAATAATAAATATAAGCCATCAAGTTTTCAATGTAACGCAAACCAATTCTGCTATATTGTAAGCATATACATATTTGTAGATTGTTGCGAAAATTTCTTACATGCGTCGCATTTACTGGTACAGTTCAATATCTACCTGATAAGAGATTTAACTCCATCTTTGAGATTCATACGATCCTTTGAAGCTGATACACTTGGAGGCAGTTTTGGCCGCGAAGGAAAGTAAATCAGCATGCACAAAAAGATTACTACTGAGATGATGAATTCTATATGTTTCATATTGATACACAGAGAGGAAAAAGATAATTATATTTAGAGCATATAACTTTAGTAAGTGTCCGGATCGGTAACAGTTATTTATAAACTTAATGGTGGTACCTATCAATAAAAAGTCCCACATTTGATCACCAACTTTTTGTCGAATTTCATCTAAGTAATGGAAGTCAATGATAGATTAATTATTAGAGAATCATCACAATATTGCCTTTATCTACAGTAAAAATATCATTAGCTGAACAGAGTTGGCTACATAGTATTTTGCATAGTTCGCATATATCATAACTATATTTCGTTGCAGGGCAACGTGGTTCAGGTAGCAAACCGTAGATTACAATGAATTTGTAAAAATTGTTTGAGATCAGTTGATGTTTACTAACTCAAATTACGCATTACTTTAACTGCTTCATTGAAATAAGAATTAATTTTGGCATATCGTAGAAGGGATAGACAATATCCGAAGACGTGCCAGTGACTATACAATCTCGGAAAGTAATGAAGCGAGCTACGTACCCGAATTTGTGGAGTTTAAATAGAATACAAGATTTGACTTTGGTCTGTAAGACAACAATATGAATGAAAATACATAATTAGCCCATTCATCCCATTCCGTATAAGCCTAAAAAACACTGTATTATAGTTTATGCCAGTGACCGTATTACTGTTGATGTTCCATTTTATATAGTATGATAAAGTAAGCTTTAGTGTTGTATCGTTGCACTACTAATAAAAGGAAAAGCTAGCACTTACACGCTGCTATTGGTATCAGTAGCATTTTTGACCTCATATACCATATTAGGTCCAAGTACGAAAGCAGTTGCGACACCAAGGTAACTAAAAATCGTCGTTATGGCCGTTGACGTGGTTCGTTGACGAGGAGGAAACCATAAGGCAGATATGATTGGTGGTCCACCGAGTGCTATGGGACCCGCAAAGCCATTTAATATTTGAGCAATATGAATTAATCTATCAATAAAATTATAATAAAAGTTAATCCAATTATGCAGTTACTCTCTTCCTGATGCCCATATCATTGCCTGTAAGTGTGTAAAATATTGCAGGAATGACTGGACAAGTACAACTTGTCATCCGCGATTGCTTTCTGTTGTCGTAGGTGTACTGATTGCAATTTTATATTGAATTGTTAACGAAGATTGTGTCAAGATCTTCTATTATCTATGCAGCTAAAAGGCTTTTAAGGTCGATATCTCGATAATAGAAGCATCACTGTATTTATCAAAAATGAGCCGTTATGATGCATGGATTCTGCATTGGTAGCACGCTCATCTTGTTCATAAGTGACAGTGACCTAATTGCAACGCTTTTGCATGACCGTAATCTATCCAGTAGGTTAAATAGAATATTGAGTACAGTAACGTAATATGACGTTGCCTTGTGATAGCTATTCCTAGCAAAATGTAATTGGTAATAGTGCGCTGCTTCGTTATTACTTACGGGGTTGCAACCGCGGATTCTCTGGAAATGATTCTTAATCCAGTCCCTAAGGCGATGCAAAATGCGGCGGATACGATGGGTATTCTAGAACCTAGAATAAACATGGGTTTCGTCATGAGTATCGAACGAATAAATACTATATCATCGAGGTACACGTATCATTATAATAATGAATCAATGACTCCTTCTGGCAAGGTTTTTACAGAATTAGGATTACCTATGGATTTGTTAGCACAATAAGTCACTACAAGTTCAATCTATAGCATGCAGTCCGTATGTCAGACTACATTAATGTGAACCGTGGTGCTTGCAGTAAGTAGTTTACTCGAGTATGGCATTCATTCATTGAAATTCCATCATTCTACAGCAGCATGCAAGATAGTTAAGGCCATGCACTGACGGTAGGTCTAAAAATAATCCATGTCTATTTTTGACTTTCAACATGTTTTTGCGAAGGGGCGTAATTTCCGTTTGAATGAACATATTCAGAGTCTGTCGATCTTGCTGTCTGAATTTTTGCGGATTTTCGGATTATCTGAATCAGATGTTCCGATCCATGCCATCGTCCGTCCGTCCATGCATACGCGACTGGACATTGGTAACATTTTTACACTGTACTGTACGGTACGCGACGACGATTCATTATACAGTACAGTACTGTACTGTACTGTACAGTATTATCGGAAGGAATCCAACTACAGTATATTGTACTGTACGTCATGTAGATTGTTAGCATACTGTACACTGTACAGTACTGTACAGTACCGTACCGTCTGGGACATCAATGTTGCTGAATGTTACTATTAGTAATTCATGTTCATTCCATTGCCAATTTTGCAATCCTCCTATCGTTTTGCAAGCATTATAACTAACTTCGTTTTCTACTTTACTATGTCAACAGTCTATCACGATTAATATCTTTTTAAAGCACAAGAAGGAAATGTATCGGTTTCTTTCTAGTAGCCCTGATATACTGTACTACAATCTGTGCAGTGCAACGCAGCAACCTACAATATTGTACCGCTGTGCTGAATCATGCAGTTGGCTAACGTCGGCCATTGAGTAACGTACATGATTACGCGTACAGGAGTTCAAGGAGTTTTTGCGATCACCAATACTGGAATTCCTTGCGAGCTATGCAGTTATCCGATTATACAATTTGAATTTATTGATCAATGATTAGGCGTAAAAACTCGATTCATTATCATTTCCAATTGGCCAAAGGAAATCGTGGTTGGAAAAGCACACACTGATGATAATGTTCCATGCAGTACTGTACTTTACTAAAGATGAAATCCAAATTCCAATTGCAAGAATTTCACAGCTACTATGCTACAGGTTATCATCTATTTGCATGGACTATAAGGTAGAGGACTCCAGCGTGATCATGTACTGTATGGCTGACTATAGTAAGGTATCGAGTGCCAATCGCTGTATAAAGTGTCCATGTTGGATCAATGTTGATCGCTAATGCTATCATAGTGTACAATATTACAAAAGTCAAGTAGCATGTTGATACCATGCGATACAATCAACTTCACTTGATAGGTTCGTTTATCTTGATCTTACCTACTGTATCGAATAAGTAGGACCAAAAAAACACGGTTACTACATACATAATGGTTCCCCAATTAGCCATCATGGCTACATCGCTATCAGTCCAACCATAATAATATTCAGCAGATGTTGCAACCGGACCCCATGTATTCCATACCATGCCTTGCGTAAAGCATAGAACAGAGAAAATTGCTAAAATATACCAACGACGTCGATAGGTAGCAAACCTATCCAAATGAGGGTTCATCTTGCTGTCTTCATCATATTGGATACCCATTTTGATAGAGATTGCAAGAATTCCAGTCTGTTCAACTCCACGTCAATGAAAACGATTGTGCCTTCACTCTGTGATTTCTACCGGTAACGCTACAAGCGCAAATGCCAACGTTTGTCGAAGGAGACAGCCTACTATTATTTTGAACTTGTAGACGTCATAATTAGTTCCACAATCACCAAAGTGTTGTTATTACATATTGACATACTGTACAGTACTGTACAGTGTACAGTACATTTGCAAGAAAAGCATGCTAAGGTGTGTGGATCGGTTTCTACTGTGCACTGTACTGTAACTTTTGGTTTCTACCCTGAGGTCGTAACACGAGGGATAGTACTGTACAATTCAATGGAGCAGACTCTTTAACGATGTGAAAATACGCCTACGAGATGTGTCATTTTGTCATAAGGCATGACCTTTCACAATACTTCATACTGTGCAGCAGCGCGCACGCTCAAGGCTCATGTCATCCTGTGTAGGCTCATGCCATCCTGTGAAGGCTCATGTCATCCTACAGTACAGTACTGTACTGTACTGTATGTCCAGTACAATGCACAGTACCGGACTGCGCGGTACAAAGCACGGTGGCCCAAGACTTCCAGTACCGTAGTAAAATGTCCAGGCCACATACTGTACTGTAGATATCATCGTTCAACAACAACAAAAAATAGCGTGCCAAGGCAATTGTATTGTACCGTCGTACCTTGTCCTTGAACGTATTGTTTTTGTTGTTTTTGTGTAATTCTGATGCAACACCGCTGGGACCTGGCTGGCTGTGGCTGTCGCCATCAAGAGACAGTGGACTGAGTCAGACTGATTCTGGTAATATACAGTTCGCACTACAAGTCAGTACAAGTCAGCACAAGTGCATTGTTCATGTTGTTTACTCTGTTTAGTTTCATGCTGAAGGTAGTGTACAAAACGCAACGCCAAATTACAAATGTGATCACATTTCATCGTCTAAATTTGTTTATCTGTGATCAATTCTATTTCATGCACAGATAAATGACTGATGTATTCAAGTACCATCTCATATGTCACACTCGTCATGATATACTGTACGGTAGAATATGAGTAGTGTACAATGTGTAAGATACAGTAAAACGTACAAATGGGCATGATCTATTCCATGGTTCAGCATAGTATCAACGTATGCTAATTTGAGCACCATGATTCAGAATCTTTTGGCTGAAATGAGTCGAACGTACACTACTGTGACTGGATTATTTCTCTCGGCTTGTATTGGTTCGTGGTATTATGCCACCATGAGACCAGTCATACCATTATTTTTACAGGTCATACGGTGATGAGGTGATGGTATTGTTTTGAAAAGACGCCCGATGCATTATTGTACTGTACTGTATAGCAGTCATCGTGAATGCTAAAAGTATCCAAGGTTTTTACTGATCAGATATCCTGCAATGATACCAACATGATCGTACATGATCGTTGATCATCTTTCCATCGTTTACCATGATCTGCGATACAAAGTCATTGATTATTGTACAGTACATCTGCTATCAGTCAATACTGCACGGTACTACTGTACTCGTACAGTACAGTACAGTACTGTAGTGGTAACCACCTCTGTACTGTACAACATGTACTGTACAGTACAGTACAGTGCAGCACCCAGACTACTCGTGTTTGTACTACTGTACAGTACAGTATATTCTGCTTGTACTGTACTGTACTGCATGTACTGTACTGTAGTTCAACAACAAGGCGATTCGCTGTAGACTGTAGTCACGCTGTACTGTACTGTACTGTACAGTATACTGTGTTGTACAGTTCAGTACTGTCAATAAGACAAGAAAATAGCGGCATAAATAAACATCATTATCATTATTTACTGTATTTTCTCCAAACAATCAGAATTCTTATCAATTTAAATCACTTCCTATTTCAAGGAAAACAATAATAAAAGAAAAGAAATTTGACCGATAAGATAACGAATTAATCAATACTATCCTACAGTACTGTACTGTATATACTGTATTGTATACAGTAAGGTCTCCAATGAACGATATTTCTTTTTATCTATTTTTTATTATCTTTACATCATAGTTTTGAATGAATTACCTCTAGAAAAGTACAGAAATAATATACAGTACTGTACTATACAGTGCGGTACAATAAAAACACGTTTCGATCATGTTCTACCATACAGGATAGTACACCAAATTGATACCTTTATCTGTTCTTACATACCACAGATATCAGACAAATATTTTGGATGAGCCAATGCTACTGGTCAACAACATTATCAAGTAAATCATTCTCATAAACATAGCCGTTTGCATCGATTTTCTCATGATGACGCAACAGCGCAGCCTCCCATGTAGTCAGGTCTATCATGTACTCTCATCATACAGTATTGCATTACAATACGATATTTCTACTGTAGTCCATCACATCCAAAATGATTCAATTCTATTGATTACTTACTACTTTCAAGTTGGACAATTATGAAATAAATTACTGCATTGAATCGTTGGTTCGTATAGTATTCATTTTCATGTCATGACACCGTACGCTCTGGTACAAAATTGGATACATAGAGTTTGATATGAGTCATCGACATGAGCTTTAAACCCTACTTTTGACTTTCAATGAGTCATGATTGTGTGGCTTCGCAAGTAAAATTGTCGTGCGATACAGTGCTTATAAAATCTGACAACCTTTCTATTTTTTAGCTATACACAACACCGAATATACCACACCGGCATGACATGAACACACCCCTCCAACACCTACAAGAGGAGGCACTAGCAATCTAGCATTGATCTGATTACGGTGCAGTACTGTACTGTACCTGCCTGGTCAAACTATTAGTCCGACTCATTCATACAGTACTGTACAGTGTACAGTGTACAGTACATGTTCATCTGTTAATGAACATACTGTACTGTACTGTACATTTACAGTACCGTAAATCGGAGGATTGGCGTAAGCAACATGCGCAGTAATCAGAAAGATACAGTCATCAATGAAACTGTTGCAATATTTCGTAGTTTTAAGAATGCTTTGAACGCCAATCTTTGGTATGAGTGTAAGTGTAAGTACGTCAATGATGAAAGAGTACAGTAAATTGAAACACTGAAGTGTAGCCTGCTCTTTTTAGATTTGATGCACAGCACTGCAATGTATGTATAGTATAGCCATACTGGACTACATTACATCAGTTTTTTGTTACTATTTAGCCGTACATCTATTTTATCATCTTAATCAGGTTCTGCAGTTATCCTCCTATCTCTACTGTACAGTACAGTACACTGTACAGTACATACAGTACTGTAGAAGCTTCATACGGAATGATTAGCAAATCACAACTTGTACCGCCGATTTTGGCCTGGAAATGAATCCTACAGTACAGTACAGTACAGCAAAGTACAGTACAATGTACTGCATTTTACAGTCCAGCAATGTACTGTACACTGTAATAAGACAACTTGACTGTACTGTACGGTGCTGTTGCAGGCTCGAGGCTCCACTGCTGGATAACGAGGAGCTGCAAATGCAAAATATTGAGCTTGGCGAACATGAATTACAACGCTGTATAATCTGCGATCCACTGCACCCAGACAACTACAAATA